TTGAGAGATGCTACCTCCTGCTATCTGTTTTTCGTTTATCCACACCAATAACAGTCTCTCAACATCTTCGAGTACTTGCGATCTCTTATTCGAAAACAAAGTTGCACCTTTTGCAAGAACAGCTTCCTTGATTGTCGTTTCCTTGGCCACAATAGTAGCGATGGTTGATTGGGTTTTGGTATACAATCTGGCCTGCTCCGAGACACGCACTCCATTTTCGTACTTAGCAATTATCTCTTTCTTTGTATCCATAGTAATTCTCACCCTTTTTCCTGCAGGGTTGGCACTAGAAGCTTTCGTGGGGCCCATGGTGACTTATTTTGCAGGTACAATCACTAAAAATGCTGTGATAATATGAAATGTTCCGATTGTATGCGTGGATGCGACCGCACTGGCTGGCTTGTAAACACTGGCACCCACGGGACAACTGAGGCGTGCTCAGGCCACACGTGGACGCATCTCGAACGAATCGCGTAGGGTGAGTTTTTTAGCGTTAGCTGAGGCAAAATTTTTGCGATAAAATGTATCGTATGCTGGATTTAATGTAAGGTGATGCCATCGTTAGCTGAGGGTCCACTGTACTAATAAGCACAGACTATGTACGATGGTTGAGGACTTAGCGAGTTGAGTACAAGCGTATCCCCTCTACTATATGTACAATACTAAAGCAGGAGTCTATAAAGGCTATAGCGCCAGCAAAGGGCATTACAGTTATTTCTAAGCAATTGACCTCTGTCAATGAAAAGATGGAAAATCTGCTGTTGACATGGTTGATGGGGAAACAGCTCACAGGAGATATGTAGTGTAGTGAAATAAACATAAAAATTGTACATAACAGTTCTTAAGATTATTATTACAGTGGAACCTCAAATATCGAATTTCTTCATTCCAGATGGCTGTTCGAGTGCTGTTCCCGAACAAATTTATTCCCATCAGGAATAATGTAAATTAGATTAGTTCATTTCAGACCCTCAAAAATACACTTATGAAAGCACTTACAAAAATACACTTACATAATTGGTTGAGTTAGGAGCAGTTCGATATTTAAGGTTCCACTGTATTATTATAATCAAGGGGGAAGTGCTAAACCAGTAGGATTATACAGTTCCTGGGGGGGAAGGTATTCAGGCTTAATTAGGGGAACTGGAGCACAGATCCAATTCCCTAAATCAAGAGCCCCTCACCATCATCAAGGAGCCTTCCTTGAGGGACAGTTCTTAAGAAAAGTGTGAACTCCTGACAGGATATGCCGCTCTGCCTCACAAACTCCGTTTTCTCTTATAACACCTCTGATGTTTTCATAGTGAGAATGCGCGACTACTCCCGACCACAATCCTCCTCCTTCCGCCATCCGTGTTATGACATATTTTATTCATTCTGGAGTGTATATCAGGTTTCTATGTTATTTATATTGTTTGTTATGTCATATTAGATGAATTGTGAGAGTAAAGCTGTGGAGTTGATATTAGGGTTATTTTGTCATGCCTCCTGAGTGCAGGAATTCAGCTGGAACGAATTAATTGTGTTTCAGTTAATTTAAATGAGGAAAATTGACCCAGCATACGAACAAATCAGGATACGAGCAAGTCCATGGAACAGATTAAATTCGTAACCCGAGGTTCCACTGTATTAATGTAATATATGACATTTAATGAGACTCGGTGATTATTATTATCATTACTAATATGGTGTCACTCGTACAAGTCGTCTGGGAACCACATCTCATGTTTATTCTACTGTGGGGTGTATTTATCATCTCTGTATGTTATGTATCATCTTTATTATATAATTTTGAAAAATATGACAGATGGATTAATGAAAATGTGTATATTAATGTAATATATGACATTTAATGAGACATTTATTATCGTTACTAATATGGCGTCTCTAGACATAAAACACCCTTAGTGATTTTAATGTGTGCCTGAATGCCAGCACAGTGTGTAAGTTTAATTAGGTACAGGTATACATAAGTATAATTATCAGAGTATATATAAAATATGAAATAACTTAAAAACTTGAAATTTTGGAGCTTCCAGACATAATGGAGAGACGTAGTGCTTATGGAGCTCACAGAGAATGTAAACAAACCAGATGTGGCACTGTGACCATATTAGAAAGACACATGGGGGGAGCCGTATAGAGAGTTTTGGTCATATTTATTTATTTATTTATTTATTAATTTGAACATGATACAGAGTAGTACAAATGAATACAGTTAAGTGCAACATGCCAAAGCCCTTTGTATGCAGAGCATTATGGGCAAGCTTAAAATTAACTTAAGATTAACTAAGCAGTGATATATTCAGTGGTAAAACATTATTGTAAACAGATAACAATTAACACAAAGAGTTTACAAAGACAGGCATATGGTCATTTCTGATTGCTGGCTTTCAGTAAAATGGAGTTTTCTGTGGGTAATTTAATTAAAAAAAAAACAAATTTTGATTGGGTATCAGGTTAAACCCCCTTATGAGATACAATTTGAGAAACATTTATGAGTCAATTTTGAAGTTCAATTATTCAGTATTTTTTTGGGTTGTGGGTGAGTAAAGTGTTTTTTGGAAGAGACTTGAATTTATAAACAGACAATGTTTTTTTATATTTACAGGAATGAATTCCAGATTTTAGGGCCCTTTTTGTGCATTGAGTTTTTTATAGGTGAGATGGACACGAAGAACATCAAGGGGGGCTGTGCCCTTTTTTTATGGTCTGTGTTTGTTGAGGTTGGTAAAGGGGATGTTTGAGGGGAGGGTTTATATCCGAGTTAAGTGGGGTTTTTGGGGGGGGGGTGCGGGGATAAAATGTTTAGGGGTGGGGGGTTTTGATGTGGGGTGTGGGTGGGGGGGGAAAAAAAAAACTTCGATGACCCTTTTTTTGTGGGAAGGGAAAGGGGGGTGGGGTTGGCCAGGGAATTTAGGGAAAAGGGGGGAAAAAAAGGGTTTTGGGGGAGGGGGTTTACTTGGAGGGATGGGGATTTTGATAGGATGTTTGGGGTGGTTTTTTAAATTTTTTGTGTTTTAGTTTTGGGGCAAAAAAATTTTTGGGGGGGGAAAAGGGGCCACTTATCTGAGAGGGAATTTACCGTTCCACCCGAAGGGGGGGGTTTGTTCAGTTTAAAAAATTGTTAAAACCCCCCTTCAAGGAAAATATGGGTTGAAATTTTAAACTTTTTCGGGCCCCCCTGCTTTAAAAGGCCCCTGTGAAAAAAAAAAATTTTTTGGTTTTTTTAGGGAATAGGTAGTAATTTAAAAAGGGGTTTTTTATTTTTGGGGTTTTTTGAATATTTGGGGGGGTTTTGTGTAGGGGAATTTTTTATCATTCTGACTGCAGGCTTTTGTTGGGTAATTAGTGGTCTCAGATGGTTTTTTGTTGTTGAGTCCCATGCACAAATTCTATACGTGAGATAGGGGTAAATAAGTGAGTGCTATAGGGGCCAGGAGGGCTCTGACTGTGGAGCTTAGATATCGTATCTTTGATTTAGTATGCCTATGGTCTTGGAAATTTTCTTGCAAATTTGCTGTATATGTGTTTGAAACTTGAGTCTGTTATCAAGGTAGATTCCTAAGAATTTTCCCTCTGTGAGTTTTGTGATAGGTGATCCATTTATCATTATGTTAAGAGGGACATCTGTAGCTCTGTTACCAAACTGAATGAAGTAGGTTTTGTCAATGTTTAGAGCAATTTTGTTAGTCCTCATCCAGGTAGATATGCATCGCAACTACTCAAACCCACACTATTTACAAGATGACACTACATACGTCTTCTCTCACCCGAGCCCAGTCACGCTATCCAATAATGTAAATACCGAATTACAGAAGTAAGTAAGTAAGTAAGTTTATTCAGGTATACACAAATACAGTTACATAGAATTATCATACATAGCAGCATATGTGTAGAGAACCTAGGATAGGCCCAAAAAGTCAGACAGAGTGACTATTTACATTGGGGTTCCTTTTACCTTATTATTATAATATAAAGGTTATAATATTTTCTTATTATTCTATAATGAAGATAACATCTTTTTATCATACTAAAAAGACTATCTACTACACGAGGGTCATTACTAGGAATAAGGTAAAATTTACACATATGTTAGCTAAAAAATTATTTTCTATTTTTTAACTAACGTACGTGTAAATTTTACCTTATTCCTAGCAATGACCCTCGTATTGTAGATGGTCTTAATGACGCTCGTGTAGTAGATAGTCTTTTTAGTATGATAATAAGATGTTATCTTCATTATAGAATAATAAGAAAATGTTATAACCTTTATATTATAATAATAAGGCAAAAGGACCCCAATGGAAATAAGTCACTCTGTCTGACTTTTTTGGGTTATCCTAGGTTCTCTACACATATGCTGCTATGTATGATAATTCTATGTAACTGTTTTTGTGTATACCTGAATAAACTTACTTACTTACTTACTTCTGTAATTCGGTATTTACATTATTGGCTAGCATGACTGGGCTCGGGTGAGAGAAGACGTATGTAGTGTCATCTTGTAAATAGTGTGGGTTTGAGTAGTTGCAATGCATTTGGTAGGTCATTTATGTATATGAGAAAGAGAAGAGGGCCAAGGACACTTCCCTGTTGGACACCAACTGTAATTGGCTGTGCAGAATAGAGTTTGCTCATTTGATCGTACACATATTGGCTTTGTTGGCTGAGATATGACTTTAGGTAGTTGAGGGAGTGCCCTCTGTATACCATAGTGTAGGACAATTTTATATGGAGCAAGTCATGGTCAACTGTATCAAAAGCTTTACGTAAGTCAATGAAGATCTCCAGTGGGATTCTTTTTTCCTCTATTGCAGTGTATATTTGTTCTAGCATTGTGTATATAGCATCATTAGTATTTTTATTAGGTCTGAGCCCAAATTGACAGGGTTAGTATGTTTTGGAGAGAAGTAGCCAATAGATTCGTGATGAATTATCTTTCAAGATGTTAGAGAGAGGGTTTGTAAGTTGGTTATTGGCCTATTGTATTAAAGTCCATGTTTGGTCTCTCCTTTAGAATCAGGGTGACCTTGCTTTTGAGAACTGTAGGGAAGGTAAGGGGATTCGCATGGGATTTGTTAGAGTGTTGCATGATTGAGTGATAGCCACTTGTGGTGCTTTTTGTATATAAAGGGTGGGTAAGGGTATTTAAATTCTCCTGTCTTGTTTTTTAGTGTGTTGATAATAAGGGAGCTTCAGTTGGGTTAGTGGTGCTAGGAACAGTGTGTTGGGTAGTTGCCAGTGAGGTAGTCATTGGGTGGGGTATCTGCGCTTGGGATTTTATTGGCAAGGTTTTTTCCTTAGTGGAGAAGAAATCATTGAGTCTGCTGTTTCAGAGGGTGGGAGTTGGGGTTCATAGATTTTTGTTAATTTAATTTCGCTTTTCATAAATATTCTTTTTTGTTCCTAGCATTTCTGATAGGGTTTTTCCAAGTCTTTTTTTATCACCTCGTAAGTTGGATAATCTTTCTCATAAATACAATTTTTAGCCCTTCTTATCAGGTGGTTTAGGACTGACGAGTAACGTTTTGTTTGGTCTCTGGTTATGTTACCCATTCTGTACTGTTTTTCATATAGGTGCTTTGTATTTATGGATTTGAGGATGCTGGTGTTAGCCAGGGACTGTTCAGTCTCTTAGCTGTCATCTGTTTAGTTTTTTTTAGGGCAGTGCTTGTTATAGAGGTATATTGGGTCTTTTTTAGAAAATTATTAATACATTTGTCAATATCTGTATAGATTTCTAGCTCAGTGTCCCAGTCAATGTTTGTCACTGCTGCTGTGAAGTTATTAATAGCTGCCTCATTGTGAAGTCTGAAAGTGACTTTAGTAGTGTCTTGGGGTAATTTGCCAAGATTTGTTATGAGGAAGGTAGGGTAGTGGTCTGTGGTATTATCTGTGATTATGCCTGATTTTAAAGGGGATATGATCTTGGTCCAGATGTGGTTTAGTAGGGAAATACTAGTCTCTGTAACTCTTGTAGGTTTTGTTACTGTTGGTAGCAACATGCAGTTACTCATTGTGTTTGTGAATTCAGTAATGTGTGGGTCCTGGTCTTGCAGGAGATTTATACTGAAGTCACCTAAGAGTAGCAAGTGATCTTTGTTCATGCGTGCATCAGTTATACTTCCTAGGTATTCACTAAAACGGCTAATGTTAGACTGTGGTACTCTGTAGATGTTTATCACTGTGAGAGGTTTTTGTAGGTACACTGTATTTGGATTTGAATTTAGCTATTATATATTCCCCATGTTCATTCCTTGTGCAAGTATTAGTGATACATTCTAGCTGGTCTGAGTAGTATATAGCTGTGCCACTCCCTTGTTGATCTGGCCTACAGTTGTGTATGGCTGTGTAACCAGGAATGGCATAGACATCTGTAGTATCAGACTTTAGCGGAATGCTGTAAAGCAAAACGCCATAAAGCAGGGCCCTGCTTTATGCTAAAGTGTAGAGTGCAGTGAGTGTGTCCCTTAGTAGCCTGAAGGCCGTTAACCCTTAAACGGTCCAAACGTATATATACGTTCACGCGCGTAGCGCCCCAAACATATATATATGTTTTTTTTTGTCATTCATTCAACATTGCCACAATAAGCCTGAGTCACCTAGATATGAGAGAATGGGTGTGTGCACTCACTGTGTTCCATATTAAAATAATTGGGGATGCCTGGGTACCATATGCTCTTTTTTTCCTTTTAAAAGAAAAGATTTCTTTTTTCCTCAAAAAATTTGGGGCTCTATGCAAGTGAACGTATATATATGTTTGGACCGTTTAAGGGTTAAGGTTGGAGGGGTGTAGCACACTGTGATTTGGCATGCCACAACCACAGAGTTTCACACCAGACAAAAGTAAAAAAAAAAAATCAGAAATAAGTTATTGACGTTGTGATCCATATTCTGCGATAAGTATTAGTAGGAGTGTCATGATTTTTGCATACCTTATTGAGGAATGATGGTTCTACAAACTCCTTACGAGGATTTGCAATTTTATTTACAGTTTTTTGTTAATGATTTTTTTCTCCACATAAAAAAAATATCACTAAATTCAACATTTTTTGTTTTATAGAATCTTCTGATATTATCGCTGAAATGTCTTGGGTTAACAATAATCTAGCCTTTATCTTTCATCTGATGTTAACAAGAGCATTGTAGATCTTCCCAATTTAGTAGAAAAAAGGAAAGTTTTAGGACCCATGAAATTCTGCATAATTTATTTTTTTCTCTCTACCTTGAAGGCTAACAGTTAAAACAAACACAGTCTATATGTTTTTATGCTGCTTAATCCACTGTCAAAATCTCATTGAAATTGGACCAACAAAAAAAAAAAAATTGGTGATTTCACTCGCCCATCCTTGAACCGAAAACATAGTCAAATTTATTTTTCTCTCATTATACACTGTGTGCTGCAGGATTTTTTTTTTTATACTGCACACACTGACCACTCAGACCCATTCTTTCATTTGTAGGCCGACCAGCTTTCTTCTGCAAGATTGGAAGCTGCTGGAATTTTGGTGTTATATTACGGCACCAATACTGGCTTGCAATCCGCAGTATTACAGCACTGATAATGCAGGGGTTAAAAACTAACCAAGGAAATATAACACTAATAATTCATCCCTAACAAAAATGTAAATATAAAATCTTTGGTTCTTGACCATTTTCTGCCAAACAAATGTGAGCTCTCTATTCATTCATGAAATGAGTATACACACAGTTTGAATGCATTTAGTAAAAATTGACTGAATTTTTTTTAATCAACTTTTGAAAATGGACTGATAGAAACAAATTCAAATTTAAAGAAAAAGATAGCCACTGCAATAGGTAGGAAACCTTCGGAGCAATGGTAGGAAATAGATACAAAAAAATGAGTCACAAACAGGAAAAAACAATGGTGTAAAAGATGTTGGTCTTCTGTATTCATATGAGAATTTTTTTTTTGTTTTTTAATACGTCAGCCATTTCCCACTGAGGCAGGGTGACCCAAAATGAAAAACCTAAAAATTAAGAAAAAAACTTGCATCATCTTTCAACACTTTCACCATCACTCATACATAATCACTGTCGTTGCAGAGGCGCTCAGATACGACAGCTTAGACATCACTCCAAACTCCCAGTATCCCAAACCCCTCCTTTAATGTGCAGGCACTGTACTTTCCACCTCCAGGACTCAAGTCCGGCTAACTGGTTTCCCTGAATCCCTTTGCAAAATATTACCCTACTCACACTCCAACAGCTTGTCAGGTCCCAAAAACCATTCAGCTCCATTCACTCCTATCTAACATGCTCACGCATGCATGCAGGAAGTCCAAGTCCCTCACCCACAAAACCTCCTCTACCCCCTCCTTCTAACCTTTTCGAGGACACCCCTACCCCGCCTTCCTTTCCTTCAGATTTATGTGCTCTACAAGTCATTCTACTTTGTTCCATTCTCTCTAAATTACCAAACCACCTCAACAACCCCTCTTCAGCCCTCTGATTAATACTTTTATTAACACTACACCAAATTTCCAAACTACAAATTCTTTGTATAATATTTACACCACACATTGCACTTAGTCATGACATCTCCACTGCCTCCTGCCTCCTCTTTGCTGCAGCATTTACAACCCATTCTTCACACCCATATAAGGGTGTTGATACCACTATACTCCCATACATTCCCTTCTTTGCCTTCATGGATAACGTTTTTTATGTCTCCACAGATGCTTCTCTGATTATAACACTGATGTCTGTTGAAAATAGGTTCCCATAAATTTGTTAATGTTGTAAGTGGTGAACCTTTTATACTGCCTGCCTGAAACTGGAATTATGTAAACTGCATTATTGTTTAATTGCAAAATTAATATTCATTACCAGGTAAAAGTTTATAAATAAATTGTATTTACAGTTTAATTACTAAATAATTTTTTTTTGTAGGCAATTGGATGCCAGGATGGGACTATTGCTTATTATCAGCTGATCTTCTCTACTGTCCATGGTCTCTATAAGGAACGTTATGCCTTTCGAGAAAACATGACCGATGTCATCATTCAGCATCTTATAACTGAGCAAAAAGTTCGAATCAAATGCAGGGACCTTGTTAAAAAGATTGCCATCTACAAGCATCGTCTGGCTGTAAGTTGACAGATTTCACCCTTTGTTGCATGAAATATGGGAGTAAATTGTAACTTAGAATGTGACAGATTTATGTGAGTTATATTTTGTGGAAAGAAAATTAAATTATTGCTTACTGCAAAAAATGGACATGTATTAGAGGTTAATGTCAAAAATTTTGTATGGGAATGAATCTTGGTCTTTACATTGTTGAAAGGAGTAGGCTGCAGGTAATGGACATGTCATTATTATTATTTTATTATCACACCGGCCGATTCCCACCAAGGCAGGGTGGCCCGAAAAAGAAAAACTTTCACCATCATTCACTCCATCACTGTCTTGCCAGAAGGGTGCTTTACACTACAGTTTTTAAACTGCAACATTAACACCCCTCCTTCAGAGTGCAGGCACTGTACTTCCCATCTCCAGGACTCAAGTCCGGTCTGCCGGTTTCCCTGAATCCCTTCATAAATGTTACTTTGCTCACACTCCAACAGCACGTCAAGTATTAAAAACCATTTGTCTCCATTCACTCCTATCAAACACGCTCACGCATGCCTGCTGGAAGTCCAAGCCCCTCGCACACAAAACCTCCTTTACCCCCTCCCTCCAACCCTTCCTAGGCCGACCCCTACCCCGCCTTCCTTCCACTACAGACTGATACACTCTTGAAGTCATTCTGTTTCGCTCCATTCTCTCTACATGTCCGAACCACCTCAACAACCCTTCCTCAGCCCTCTGGACAACAGTTTTGGTAATCCCGCACCTCCTCCTAACTTCCAAACTACGAATTCTCTGCATTATATTCACACCACACATTGCCCTCAGACATGACATCTCCACTGCCTCCAGCCTTCTCCTCGCTGCAACATTCATCACCCATGCTTCACACCCATATAAGAGCGTTGGTAAAACTATACTCTCATACATTCCCCTCTTTGCCTCCAAGGACAAAGTTCTTTGTCTCCACAGACTCCTAAGTGCACCACTCACTCTTTTTCCTCATCAATTCTATGATTCACCTCATCTTTCATAGACCCATCCGCTGACACGTCCACTCCCAAATATCTGAATACGTTCACCTCCTCCATACTCTCTCCCTCCAATCTGATATTGAATCTTTCATCACCTAATCTTTTTGTTATCCTCATAACCTTACTCTTTCCTGTATTCACCTTTAATTTTCTTCTTTTGCACACCCTACCAAATTCATCCACCAATCTCTGCAACTTCTCTTCAGAATCTCCAAGAGCACAGTGTCATCAGCAAAGAGCAGCTGTGACAACTCCACTTTGTGTGTGATTCTTTATCTTTTAACTCCACGCCTCTTGCCAAGACCCTCGCATTTACTTCTCTTACAACCCCATCTATAAATATATTAAACAACCACGGTGACATCACACATCCTTGTCTAAGGCCTACTTTTACTGGGAAAAAATTTCCCTCTTTCCTACATACTCTAACTTGAGCCTCACTATCCTCGTAAAAACTCTTCACTGCTTTCAGTAACCTACCTCCTACACCCATACACTTGCAACATCTGCCACATTGCCCCCCTATCCACCCTGTCATACGCCTTTTCCAAATCCATAAATGCCACAAAGACCTCTTTAGCCTTATCTAAATACTGTTCACTTATATGTTTCACTGTAAACACCTGGTCCACACACCCCCTACCTTTCCTAAAGCCTCCTTGTTCATCTGCTATCCTATTCTCCGTCTTACTCTTAATTCTTTCAATTATAACTCTACCATACACTATACCAGGTACACTCAACAGACTTATCCCCCTATAATTTTTGCACTCTCTTTTATCCCCTTTGCCTTTATACAAAGGAACTATGCATGCTCTCTGCCAATCCCTAGGTACTTACCCTCTTCCATACATTTATTAAATAATTGCACCAACCACTCCAAAACTATATCCCCACCTGCTTTTAACATTTCTATCTTTATCCCATCAATCCCGGCTGCCTTACCCCTTTTCATTTTACCTACTGCCTCACGAACTTCCCCCACACTCACAACTGGCTCTTCCTCACTCCTACAAGATGTTATTCCTCCTTGCCCTATACACGAAATCACAGCTTCCCTATCTTCATCAACATTTACAATTCCTCAAAATATTCCTTCCATCTTCCAAATACCTCTAACTCTCCATTTAATAACTCTCCTCTCCTATTTTTAACTGACAAATCCATTTGTTCTCTAGGCTTTCTTAACTTGTTAATCTCACTCCAAAACTTTTTCTTATTTTCAACAAAATTTGTTGATAACATCTCACCCACTCTCTCATTTGCTCTCTTTTTACATTGCTTCACCACTCTCTTAACTTCTCTCTTTTTCTCCATATACTCTTCCCTCCTTGCATCACTTCTACTTTGTAAAAACTTCTCATATGCTAACTTTTTCTCCCTTACTTTACATCATCATTCCACCAATCGCTCCTCTTCCCTCCTGCACCCACTTTCCTGTAACCACAAACTTCTGCTGAACACTCTAACACTACATTTTTAAACCTACCCCATACCTCTTCGACCCCATTGCCTATGCTCTCATTAGCCCATCTATCCTCCAATAGCTGTTTATATCTTACCCTAACTGCCTCCTCTTTTAGTTTATAAACCTTTACCTCTCTCTTCCCTGATGCTTCTATTCTCCTTGTATCCCATCTACCTTTTACTCTCAGTGTAGCTACAACTAGAAAGTGATCTGATATATCTGTGGCCCCTCTATAAACATGTACATCCTGAAGTCTACTCAACAGTCTTTTATCTACCAATACATAATCCAACAAACTACTGTCATTTCGCCCTACATCATATCGTGTATACTTATTTATCCTCTTTTTCTTAAAATATGTATTTCCTATAACTAAACCCCTTTCTATACAAAGTTCAATCAAAGGGCTCCCATTATCATTTACACCTGGCACCCCAAACTTACCTACCACACCCTCTCTAAAAGTTTCTCCTACTTTAGCATTCAAGTCCCCTACCACAATTACTCTCTCACTTGGTTCAAAGGCTCCTATACATTCACTTAACATCTCCCAAAATCTCTCTCTCTCCTCTGCATTCCTCTCTTCTCCAGGTGCATACACGCTTATTATGACCCACTTCTCGCATCCAACCTTTACTTTAATCCACATAATTCTTGAATTTACACATTCATATTCTCTTTTCTCCTTCCATAACTGATCATTTAACATTACTGCTACCCCTTCCTTTGCTCTAACTCTCTCAGATACTCCAGATTTATCCCATTTATTTCCCCCCACTGAAACTCTCCTACCCCCTTCAGCTTTGTTTCGCTTAGGGCCAGGACATCCAACTTCTTTTCATTCATAACATCAGCAATCATCTGTTTCTTGTCATCCGCACTACATCCACGCACATTTAAGCAACCCAGTTTTATAAAGTTTTTCTTCTTCTCTTTTTTAGTAATTGTATACAGGAGAAGGGGTTACTAGCCCATTGCTCCCGGCATTTTAGTCGCCTCATACGACACGCATGGCTTACGGAGGAAAGATTCTTTTCCACTTCCCCATGGACAATAGAAGAAATAAAAAAGAACAAGAGCTATTTAGAAAAAGGAGAAAAACCTAGATGTATGTATATATATATATATGCATGTGCGTGTCTATGAAGTGTGACCAAAGTGTAAGTAGGAGTAGCAAGATATCCCTGTTATCTTAGCGTGTTGATGAGACAGAAAAAGAAACCAGCAATCCTACCATCATGCAAAACAGTTACAGGTTTTTGTTTCACAGTCATCTGGCAGGACGGTAGTACTTCCCTGGGTGGTTGCTGTCTACCAACCTACTGTCATGTAGGGGATAATTTATGGTGTAATATTATGCATATCATGAGGAGCTAAGTGAGAAGTCTATGTGGTGGAACGAAATTGATACTTTAATTCAAGGAGGATGAGGATAGGGGTTAAATGGTTTTATCATGTAACAAGAATAAATCAAGATATGCTGGTAATGACAGTGTACATATCCAGGGGGATAGAAGAGTTGGAGTAAGGCAGTGACAGATGTTGAGAGTTACTTGAGTGAAGGAGAAGAATAGCATTTTACAGTACAGTAGGGCAAGTAAACGAGGTAAAATGAATAAATGAGAGAGAGAGAGAGAATGAGTAAATCAGAGAGGAGAGAGATACAGAGCATATAAACAAACAAATGAACACGTCTGGTTATGGTTGATACACGTTCATCTACACTTAACATCTCATATTTATGTTAATTTATTCTACTGTGGGGTGTAATTATCATGTTTGTATGTTACATAGCTTGTTATTTATATAATTTTGAAAAAATATCATAGATTAATGAAAATGTTTATATTAATGCAGTATATGATATTTAATGTGCCTCAGAATGATTATTATTGCATTTATTAATATTATTATTATTTTTCTTTCAACAAACCGGCCATATCCCACCAAGGCAGGGTGGCCCAAAAAGAAAAACGAAAGTTTCTCTTTTTAAATTTAGTAATTTATACAGGAGAAGGGGTTACTAACCCCTTGCTCCTGGCATTTTAGTCGCCTCTTACAACATGCATAGCTTACGGAGGAAGAATTCTGTTCCACTTCCCCATGGAGATAAGAGGAAATAAACAAGAACAAGAACTAGTAAGAAAATAAATGAAAACCCAGAGGGGTGTGTATATATATATGCTTGTACATGTATGTGTAGTGTGACCTAAGTGTAAGTAGAAGTAGCAAGATGTACCTGAAACCTTGCATGTTCATGAGACAGAAAAATGGACACCAGTAATCCTACCATCATGTAAAACAATTACAGGCTTTTGTTTTACACTCACTTGGCAGGATGGTAGTACCTCCCTGACCGGTTGCTGTCTACCAACCTACTACTAGAATTATTATTACATTATTATTATTATTATTATTGTTATTATCACCATTATTATCACCATTATTATCATTATTAACCCTTAAACTGCCCAAATGTAGATATACGTTTGCTCACGTAGTGCTCCAAACATAGATCA